AGCCTGAAGCACTCCACCCCACTCATTTCATCTGGCGTTTTCTGTCAAGAGTGTAAGGTTGAAGATAGAGGGAGGGAGAGACGGAGAGATTTGGAGAGGAGAAGGTTAAAGCTTTCCTACTGGGGTACCTAGATTATCTTGCATAGCATGTAGGTCGGGATGATTCTTGATTGATGCATGGAGGTTGGCGACAGGGCACAATACTACTGTACTCGCAGGGGGTGTGGGGGTTTGGCCAACTGCCCTTGGGCCTCGGCCTTGGTTAAGACCATGTGAAACAAATACAGCACCTGCCGTACAGCTTTAAGGGAGTGTGAAGGGGCCCCAGTGTTGTCAACATCGTACCGCGTGGCAGCCACAGGACCAGAGCTCCCCCTCCTCGCACTCTCGGAGCAGTCATAGTTAGCACCTCCGCCCTACCACCTTTAGGTGTAGCCTGGCAAAGAACGACCAATCACAATGTTGCTGCCTCCATCCTGACCACGACCGAGAACAACCTCGCAGCTAGGAAGTTAAGATCAAGGAGGGAAAGATTGAGCATCAGCTACACCGCGAAGTAGAATCACCATGGCCCTACCGAATCCTTGTGTGGTAATGGCAATCTCCATGGCAAGCACCGTTGGGACACTCACTGGACAACCACTGATCCCACACACGCTGCCACCTCCACGTTGGTCGCCACCTGTGGCAGTACACCCAGCAATCACATCAGAAGCCACCTTAGACAACTCCAACATGGGTCCACCCACCATGAGTACCTTGTATGGCAACAGCTTGGAGCAGCCCGCCACGCAGTAGCAGAAGGGCATGAGAAACATGATGGGGCAACAAGGTACTTATGAGACGTAATGGAACAGAACAGCAGGAATACGACAGCAGGGATGAGGCAGACAGCGCCTAAAAGTTTGAGAGGGGACTGTTGTTGCGTGTATGAAAAAGCATGGCTTGCAGATCACCTAGACTCAGACATCAACTCTGTTTTTCCTCAACCCCTAGGATCCCCTAGGTTTAGAGCGGTTGGGATTCTAATGCAAGGCATTCTGGTAGAGGTTTTGAGTTGTTTCTATTTGATTCTCCAGTACATCCCTTAAGCCTTTTCTATAAACCCTTAAGCGGCAATGCAGGGAAATCCCAGTAAGACGATTTGGTACTTGGGCCCTTAGAGCAAGCTCACCTCAGTAGAGAAGTGCAATAAGTATATATCAAGGCCCTCCTAGTACCCCTAGTTGGGGATATATGGTCCCGTACTTAGGTCCGAATAGAGGGTAGGTGGAGGGTCTAGGTAACGTGTCCACAAAAGGAAATTAATTGTGTATTGATAGAGGGTACTTAGGTCCCAATAGAGGAATAGAGGGTGGGTGGAGGGTGGAGAGTCTAGGCAACATGTCACAAAGGGAGATTGTGTGTTGATAAAGGGGTTCGGATAAAGGATTTAGGGATATTTAGGGTTTATGCCTCAAGGTTGAGACTCTAGAGCTGCAGGTCAAGGGTTTGGGGTTGAGGATTTAGGGTTTTGGCCTTGAGGTTGAGAATTGCAGGTTTAGGCTCCTTAGCCAAAAAGGACCGCAAACCCGAAGGTGGCAAGTCTAACAAATCATACTCTTCAGCCACGCCCCAAACCCCGGAACCTAAACCCTGAACCCTAAGCCAAAATCCCTGATCCTTTATATTCCTTTTCATCTATTCCTAAGGCACACTTCAGCCATATGGTTTGGGGGCTTACGGCTTAACCGATAATGCTTGGAAGGTCACGGGCACTAACAGTTTGGTTCAGAACAGGCAGACATGGGGACATCACAGGGGATTATGTAGGTTTTACGGTTTGAGGTTCAGGGTCTGAATTCTCTGAAAGGGTGCCATATACAGGATTGTACAAGGAAGCATTATACGGGCTATTAAAGGGGAATATTCGGAGTAGATTATGGCACATAGTAGGTTGAGGGTTTAGGTAGCTTAGGCTTTAGGTCGTAGGGTTTGGGGTTTAGTAGGGCTTAGGTGTTTATGGTTTAGGGTTTGAGGTTTCGGGTTAAGGGTGAAACATTTTCAAGAGTATATATTTGCTAAGAGGATTTGAGAAATATCCTGGAAATCTGTAACCAATCTAGTAGAGTGTTGAACACGGAAAGTACAGAACCAAGGATTTGAGACTTCCTCCTTAAACTTGAAACACTTGTGGTACAACGCAAAACGCTAATTGTTAAGCATCTCTGGATACTAGGACTATGGAGAAGGAGCAGACTAAATCGAAAGTTCCTGTCACCCACATGCAAATGGGATTCCTTAGGAATGTGCTGTTTTTATAAAACAGAGGGTTCAGAAATTATATAAAGCCCAAAACAACCAACAAGTCCTTGAGAAGGCCACCGATACAACCAAACCTCTGCTTTCACGAACGAAATAGAATTCTTTTTCCTCCACTCTAAAGGTACAAGAGAACCAAAATTGACTTCAGAAGTGGAAGCTCCAGTTCTTTGCAGGTGTTTCCTTTGATCCCATAGAAATTCAGGGCGCCGTGTTTCATGAGATTCGTGCGGAATTCATGGTTTTGTGTATTTGTGTTCGTGCTTTTGGTTTGTCTTGGTTTCTCGGCGCGTGTGTTTTAGAACAAGGACGAATACTCTCGTTGTCCGGTACTGCACGGCATCCACTACTACACCATAGTCTTTGCTGCACTTACTTACTGGTATTTGCTACTGACTCTGTGATAGGCTGATGTAGACAGAGGCCACTGTTAAAAAAACTATGTATTCTGGTTTTGAAACACACAGGACCCAAAAAAACGATAAAGAAAGCAAAGATTTTCAGACTAGTCAAGACTCGAGTAGTGTGCAATCTACGTTTTTTTGGTCCCGGTCCTGAGCTCTCCAATGTTTTCAAAAGGGAAACAACGCCGATTGTGGTGGCATACAGTGTGGGTTCCGTGGAAGTTGCCCTGTCGCTGCTGGAAGCAAAGGCAGCAAGGACTGAATTGATGATTCTGGGATGAGTCCATTGACCTGGGTTACGCAAGCATCGCCAACATGAAGTCGCCATGCTTCTGCTGCAAGCAGGTACGCATCCTACAGAGCATGACTTGTTGTCTTGGGCATGCGCTGCTGGCCGCTCCAATGTTGTCTTCAGTGGACAGGGAACTCTCTAAAAATAGCTGTCTTAAACACGCCACACCAGTGCTTTCCGAAAAGTTCACAAGCACGTCAGCGTGCTGACATCAATGCACCAGAGACACCAGTGGCCCGATTAACATGGTCCACAAAAAACCACATACCACCACAACATGTTTGTCAATCCATTGCCGTACCGATTGGGCTCGATTCTGGCGCAGAAGCGGAAGACTACCAGCGTGCCAGAAAATGCAGAGCACCTGCAGCGCTACCGGATTGAGTGCTAGGCGAGTAGGTTAGATCAGATCACGATGCAAACCATTGTGTACCACATGCGGGCCTGGCGGCCATGAATTTGGAAACCTTGCTAACATGGGGCAACGAAGTGCGCCTCTCGATTCAACCATGTACAATCTACAGTTGATTCGATACACTCCGGACCCAGCAACTTGGCCCCGTCCTTGTACCTTGGTTTCATCTCTCAAGCGCTCCCATGTCATTTGCGCCAACTTTTTTCCCAGTAGCCGCGCCGTTCAAAACCGTGCCACACAAGTACCCCAAGAGACATTTTTAGATTGTAGCTCACTTCCCACGAAGAGGCACACAACCAAGTACCTGCTTTCCCTCGTCCTTTACCAGTACTCTCCCCTTGTTGCTGGATTCCATCAAATTGGGCAACAAATGGCTGCCACCAACCATTAAGAGAAAACCCAAATATCATCTCTTGCTGCACTACACCCCAAACCCAGGACACGGACGGCACCTTTTAAGCCAATCCCTCAAAAAGTCCTGCACTTCCCCATATGTACGCGATGACCATGCGGGTGGTCACAAATTTTCCTGTCTTTCAGTTAGCTTTGTTTGGTTGTGGGATCCACTTCGCAGCAAATTTGTTGTGGCATTCTCTTGGCAACCCACCCAACACAGCTGATAGTGCCCTGAGGAGGCTGACAAGCAAGAAGAACTCGGGGTCGGGGCGTTTGAGCTTCTGCCACAGCAGTTCATGCATCGCAGGGTGATTCCTTCCCCCACCCCACCGACACAAAAGACTCATTCAGGCCTCCTTAGCTAAGCATGCTGTGTTGTTCTGTTCCATTATTTTCGGTGTGCACTCAATCGTGTTCATTTCAGTTTGGCGTTTCGCCCTCTGCTGCCCAGTTCAGTTCTTTTTGAATTCAAGCTTGTTGTGGCAGGTGCGGTAAGGCGATTTGAGTTGCACGGTTTGCCACCGTTCAACTGGGTTTGCTTCATTTTGCTTGCTGTGTTCATTCGCTTCAGTTCCGGCGGCTTGACTCGCATATGACGGTCGTCCATCCCGTTTCGATTCAACAGCAGTTCGGTTCTCGTGGTTTTTGGCTGTTCGGCCTGAACTTTCCTGACAACGTCATTCTTGAACATGCCTCAAAACTATCGTGGCCAAGCGCTTGATGAATACTGTTCCAGACTTGTTGGGGAGCTCAGATACCTTGCCAACGTACGTGTGTTCTGGTGACTTGCGCTTGCCACCCTGGGCAGCACAGCATGTGAAGGTCAGGGTCTCAAACCCTTGAATTTCTCAAGCTTACATACAGCCGTTCTGTTTCCAGATTTGAAGAAGTACAGGTCGGGATCTCAAACTCAAACCCTTGAATTTCTCAAGCTTACATACAGCCGTTTTGTTTCCAGATTTGAAGAAGTATGTGCAGATCACAGCTGCAGGCTTGTGGACTAAGATTTAGAAGCTGTTGGGGTCACCGGGTCAGATATGGGGTAAAAGCCGCAGTGTGCGTTTTGTTTTTGAGCCGTGTTCGTGCTCTTGGATGGCCGATGCGTTCAAGGATTGCTTTAAGAGACCAGCAACCTATGATCCTAAAGCTGCGCACCTGAGATTGTCAATGCTACTGCTACATGCCCTGCAAGGACAAGACGTACAGGAACTGCCAGATCATCGAGGCCGGGGATTGTCATGCCGTGTGGGGAGTGAAGTCGTGCTGTTGGAGAAGAGGTTGTGGGAAATCAAGCGGAGCACTGACGACGATTGCTTGTTGGGAGGCATGTGTGATGCCAAAACCAATGCTAAAACTGAATCATGGTAAGGGGGTCCCAAGAACAATAACTTCAATTTTTCAGGCACAGGCCTGCAAGGGAATCCACCAGCTTGCAGACTGGACACCCTACTTGAAGCCCATAGGCTATGTGGCTGCGACAGGAGCTGTTCAAGTCCGGTGGCTGGCAGTCCATCGCTGACCTTATTGATCTGGAGGGACACCCAGCCATGAATTAAGATTCCTTCCGTGTCTTCCGTTTGCAGAGATTTGCGCCTATTCCCGTTTGAACACAACTAGCATCTTTCTTGGCATCTCTGTAGCGAAGTTGGTGTTGTTTGTGCCAGATGTCACTCACGCACCTTGGGGGTATGAGGTTGCAACGACACTGCAGGAAAGTAAGGAGTGACAGGTTGCCAAGAGAGAGCACTGCAGAGCGAAGCAGCAGTCCGAGCAGATTTCCGCTTCGATCGAGCTTTGTTTTGCTTCCTCGTCTTACTCATGCTGCAGCTGCCGCACAGTGCCCTGAAAGTGGCTATTTGCAATCGATTCATAGTCTAGAGCTGCCTGGAAGTTGTTGTCCAGACCAGTGTCCCGTAGGACCTGCAAACATTCAAGCATTGGAGGGGCTATCATTGAAGGAGAACGAAGAGCAGGTGAATTGGTTCCAGAACACGACACAAAAAAGCAAGCCTGGTATCCTCAGGCATCATCAAGTACAAGGGCGAGTTCCACTTCGTCGAGTCCCTGAAGCAGGATACAAACGTGGGCTTGCAGGAGCCCGAGCTCTCTTCATGCGTCAGGCTGCCTTGTGTCTCCTGTTTGTGCCTCTTCGCCGGCCCCTCCAGTTCAATTTTGCGTTGGCTGCGTCTTGCTTTTTGGGGTCGCGGCTCTTGGGCACTTGGATGGTGGGGCTGCTTGAGATCCGTCACTGACTCTTTCTTCTGAGCTCGATGATCCATGGCCCTAAATCCCCACATGTTTCTTGACCCCAAAGCCCGAAGCTGAAAGAGTCTGCATTG